GTGTGCTGCCAAAAGCATCGGCAGCCCTGGCCACCTCTGCATTATAAACTGCAGTGACATAACTGTGATGTAGTGGCAGATCTAATAGAGGGACCAACTGGTGAGCATCATCCTGAGCTTTTGCAACCCTGAATCTTCTACAGCAGTTTGATAGCTTCGTTCTTGGAAGCGTCGGATGCAGCAGTACAGTGCTACATCTGGACTAAAAAACCTCATTTCTCTGCAAGACTAAACTGACTCAGACATTGACCAGCATCAGCTCTGCTGTTTGTCTAAACAGAGGCTCTTTCAGTTGTATCTGCAAAGGGTTTTGAATAATAAAATTTAATGTTGTTGGAAAATAATGTATTTAATGATCAATACTCTAGCACTGCTGTCATTACCTCTGTACGATAGGGAAGAGCTGTCACTACCCTTTTTAAATTCCCTTTCATTCTACTGTTACTACCCTTTCACAATGAGAGTAGTGAAGCAATGGAACAGGATGCTCTGTCCCTGGAGTCATTCAAGGTCAGCCTGGACTGGGCTCTGAGCACCCTGACCTGGCTGTCGATGTCCCTGTTCATTGCAGGGGATTTGGATTAGATGACCTTTAAAGGATCCTCCCAGCTCAAACGGTTCTATGATTCTACTCTATGATTTCATCTTGAGCTGATGTCATCTCTAAACTGGAGATCTGTGTGCCTCTGCTCCTGCACTCCACAGATATACCTAAGTGAAATGCCGACATCGCAGCCCAGCCAGCTGTGCAAACCCTTGTTTGGATTGCGCAGTAGTTGGTGTTTGAGAACAGGGGATCATAATGCCACCTACTCCCTGGATACATTCTTGTTAAGGTCTTTACTGGTGTAACCATGGCTGGACATGTCCTCCTGGTGTAGCCCTGTTATGTTCTGCAGCATTTGCCTCACAGAAATAACATCCATTGTGCAGCATTCTGAGAACTACGTATGGAAATTGCTGCATAGACACTGTTATTAGGAAAGAAGTGATAACCATTGTTTTTATTCCCACAGAAGGGAAGCCTTTCCACTTCCACTAAATTCTGAGTTCTCTGGAGCTCCAGAAGAGCATTAAGTTCTGTGAAGAGCAAGCTAATTTGATAGAAAAGGTTTAATCATTTAATACCACACAAAAAATAGAACCACCGCCTCTTGCATCCTCTCCAAACATGTCATTTCCAAGCAGGTCTGCGATGGCAGTCCCAAAGGAGCAGGGCAGCAGCAGCAGGACTGAAGGACAGCCTGTCGCTAAGCAACCAACGTACACAGGCTGCTCAGCACTCATTTCATTTGCAAAGGGACGTGTTCTTGGAGCACTTCATTTTCACTGCTGGGCACGACGAGTTTCCCACTGGCTTTCCAGCACTGTGCATGTATAAAACAGCCATTTTTCACAACCAAATGTGCAAGTTAAAGAGCAGATGCCAGAGAAGAACATGCAGAATTGTAAGGATTGGAAAATTGGCACAAGTATTTCAGGACTTTCTGATGTCAGACTCCTGAATTTGCCTCTTTGTTTCTGTGTTCATCCTACCTGCAAAGGGGCTGTCTTGGTATGGGCTGCTGGATGAATAGCAGCACTGTCTGCAGTTTACCCATGTTTATTGATGTACCCTCTTGTAAAGAGTGCTCTATCACGGTTTTTACAGACACAGGGAAATACATTCTGATTAAAATAAAAGGCAGAATTGGACCTCAGTTCCCAGTATGAAAATTCCAAATCTCAAATTCTGTAATTCTTTCAGAAGAACAGCCACATAGTTTTAGAAAATGAGCATTGAGTGCAGTATATCTAACATTGCTTTCAATTAGTGCTGGTCCCTATAGTGAGATAAAGCCCTAGAGCTCTGCTAGACTTATGTCTGGCTATCTAAAATCAGCTCTGGCCTAAACAGTCCCCTACAATAGTTTCCTAAAAGAGAAGTTTATCATAATGAAGAATGCACTTCAGTTGGTAAAGGACACTAAATGGATGTTTTACTACATGGGATCTAAAAGACACTAGCACCATAAGGATACTGAAGCAGGTGGGACAAGTTATTGTAACATATGTTCCTTCCTAATCCATGTAGGAGGCCCCTTTTGGCTGGGAAGATGTCTGCACACATTTCAGTTCTCCTCTCTAGCAGATGTAGCAAGTACACTCACTGACTGATATGTTTTGTGGTTTTTTTTCCAACTCTTTACACTGGGTCTGGCTGGGCTTGAGCTAACTTTCCCTACAGCAGTCCATACAGTGCCGTGCTTTGCACTTGCAGAGCAGTATCGATATCTCACCCATGTGGCTCCTACTGTGCTGGCACAGCATCAAGGCTGCCTTTCCACAGCCAGTATTGAGGCCCTGCTTCCTAAGAAGTGGCTGAGCATCACGTACCAATGGGTAACATAAAAATAGGTTATTTCTTCTTTAGCATCAATGCAGCCTTTCCTTTTTTAAAATTTTCCCTTTCATCAAAATGCTCCTATCTCAAAACTGCAAGTGCCTCTTGTCTTGCTTTTTCTGCACCTCCTTTTCACTTGTTTCTCTTTCTTCCTTTTCTCCCCATCCTCCGTCCTGCTGAGGAGAGGGAGTGAGAGCACCTGTGTGGGACATTGCTGCCTATCCATGTTAAGCCACAGCATTTTGTCATCTCATTCAAATGCTCTAGGACGTAAATTCTTTGTGGGTAGCCCAAGAGTGAGTATAGTTCAGAGACAGACAGCTAACAGGTTCTATGGACCCACAAATGATAGAATATGTCTTTCTGTTGGCCCAGACATTCTGCATGTGAAAGTTTCAATTCAGTCAGGACCTCCTGCCTAGAAGCACAGTGAATTTAAGCTCCTCTCCCTTTGCCTAGGGCAGTCTGATAAATCTATCAGACTCCCTGGCTCCCGTTGGCAATTCCTTCACCTCCGCATCACACTCCAGAAGTTCCCAACCAAATGGAGATACATAGCAAGGGCTGTGCTAAAAGGCATCACGTTGCATTAGGGTACAAATACCACAGAGACTGAGATACATAAGTCATTCTTCTGTTCTAAGACAGACTGTCTAAAATATTAGTCAAAATATTCAATCTTTCAAACCCATGCACTCAAAGTGGGATGCAAGAGTGACAGAAGATGCTCTTGTTTGTAGCCAGTGCTGGTCCTTCTGCTGCTGATCTAATGGATCATGATGGATGTAGGCATGTCTTAATGTCCCTGAGATCCAGTTGAAACAGATACAGTTTTTGCCTTTGACTGATGTGGTTTCCAAGTGAAGTTTGCTGTTAAATGAAATGCTGTGGGAGCAGGCACTGTTTGCAAACTAAGCTGTGTCTTGGGAGCAGCAACTAGCAGCTACAACTTTTCTTACAGATGAAAAAATAAAGTACTTCTTGAAGAAATGCTGACCTCTTCAGCCACTGTGACTTAAAAGAAGAAACTATGTGTTGGACATTCTAAACACATCTTCCTTCTCCTCTCCTTCACTAGTTCTTCTGCTTTCTATGCTTAAGTGGGGAATAGTCTTCCAAAGATATCTTTATTCAATAATATCTTATTACTACAACATGCCTAATAATATAATCAACACTTCTTCCTTATTTCTGCAGTTGTATGTACAAGCACCTAGCTTGCCAACAGATTAATGTTACAGTACTATATTGTATAGCATAGCTGTCACACCTGGGAGCAAGAGAGCATATTCACTGCTTGACCTGTCAGCCAGGTCATGAACAGACTGGTTTTGATCTTGGTGCAAAAATAATTGCTGTTTTCAATCCCATTTCATTTACCTATGAAAATGAATCAGTACCACTTAATGTAGGATATATGCTCCAAAAGCATCTGCTTCCTGTTTCTTATAATGTTCAGTCTGCAGCAAGTTGCAGAGAAGCGTGCAATCAATCAAGTGAGCAACCAACTGTGTTACAGTTGACTTGAAGAATGCCCAGGTTAACTGAGCGAACCCAAAGCAGACTTTCTGAATGAGGGATAGCACAGCAAAGCACAGAAATGCACTGCAGACCTTTCTTTTCTTTTTCTTTTCTTTTCAAGACCAAACAAAATAACAAAGTCAGAAAATGGTTGAAACAAAATGGAAAACTTGTTTTTCTAGTTGCTTGATATCAGCTTGGAAGATTCGCAGCAAAACGTAGTTTTGAAAAATCAGCAGTTTTCATTTGAAACAAATTAATCTAGAAATGGTTAACCAACTTCAGCAAGAAGACATCATGTGAGCAGCCTACAATGAAGTACAGCTATACCAGAAATAAATTACAGAGAAAAACTGCAGCATGAAAGAAAGTCAATGGTATCTTGAGGAAAGAAGTCTAATATTAAATTGCATAAGGGTGAAACAGAAGATGTAATTACACAGAAAAAATTGAAGTAGATCCAGTTAAGCTTCACTTAGAATGCAGAAACCACTTGCCATATTAGCTAGTGCGCTCCAATAGCCTTAATTACTAAAGTAAGCTGAGCCATTCTCCTGCCTGATATTGAGCCCTTGAAAGGCTCTGAGCAGCGGCACGTATAAATATCCAGCTTAAACCGATAATCAGAGGGAAGGAAAACAATGCAGAGCATAGATTTGGCTATAATTTGGTATTTCTGTTAATTTTTTAAAGTAACTTTTAAGAAAATACAAAGGAAGGAAAAGAGAATAGACGAGGAGATATGACTGCCTACCGAGTATACATCATGTGCTTGCTACAAATTATGTAAGAACCTAAGAGAGAGAAAGGAGAAAATTGAAATCAGTCTGTTTAATACATTTACTCTAATTCAATGCCTTTGAATGATTTTCAGCTCGTAAAGCTGAGCTTGCATTTAGACTCCAGGTAAAATAAATCCCTTTATACTGCCAATATAAACACACACTCCTCCCTTTGCCCTCAGCCAGCTGCAGTTGATGCAATACCATGGACTTTCTGCTAGAAGCCTTTGTTCTTTTGCACAGCCACTCCTCTGGGATCTGGGCTCCCCTGGTTGGTTACTGTACTGCGTTCTCGTGACCCACGGCAGGTGGATCTGAGCAGCAGCTGAAGTTAATAAGCTGCCGAACCAGGGGCAAAGAGGATAGTGGCAATTACACAGCAAACTGTGAAACAGTGTTTCTCCTTTGATACTTTCAAAATGAAAATTGATATTCATAGCCACATTCTACCTAAGGAATGGCCTGACCTGAAAAAGGTAATAAGAGTTTAGATAATCAGTGTCTTATGTTAGCAGCAGCCATTGGTAGCAGTGCAATTTTTGAACGATCATTGAATGAAGGATTCTGTTATAAATACTTGTTTTCAGTAGCTTTTTATCTAATTAGATCTCTTCTTTTTCAGATATAAGATACCTGTATAACATTACTATGCAAAGCAAGAGTCGCCATAAGGAAAAGATGGAAAACTGTGCTGTGTTCCCCACTCTGTAGTTAGACTGGTGTCATTCCTACATCTTTGCTTGGTTTTGGTTAGCTTTTTGTGTGTTGTGGTTGTTTGGTTTTTTTTGTTTGTTTGTTTTTGAGACCTAAAACTATATGTTGATGAAGCATAAATTCCATTTTCTTGATGAAACCAGAGCCATCAGATTCCCAAATGGTGTTCACTTCTAATTTAAATGGAGAAATAAGCAAATGTTAGACAAGATTAATGTTACTTAGAACAAAAGTCATTCATATCTTGTGCCCAAGGCATGAGAGCCATTCACTTCAATAGCCTTGGGTAACTCCAACTATGGCTAACTGATGATTATGGTTATTTTACTAATATCTGTTATATTTTCAGTTGCTGGAAAGAAGCAGCATATTGTATTACAGATACAAATCTCAGTTGTCACAACACTGAAGCTGTAAGTCAACTTGTCTTAACTAGGGATTTTTGCATGGTGCACTCTTATTAGCATTCAACAGCATGAACATATTCTTGCCAGTGGCAATTTTATGATCCTGTGAAAAGTATCTGAGAATGGAAAGGAAATAATTTACGCTTTCATGTAGTGATTCTACTCCTTTACTTCAGGTTATCAAAGGCAATGTACTCGTCTGGTTCTGAGTTAGGTTGTAGAGTTGTTGCCTGAATAATTATTATCACATTGAATATGAAGATGGATGACCGCTTTTGGACTCGTAAGGCATCACATCTTCAAAGCTACAAAGGGTACTGAAAAGATTGCATGATGAAGTTCTATTTATTCATTGTTTATACCTACAAAATCGTTTGCAATTCTAGGATAGCTATTTTTCTTAACTCCTTAATGTTTTTATTAATGAAATCAGACTAGAGAAGGTGAGAGCTGCATTGTTGCTTCTTCTCTTACTGGAATTCTGTGTTGGCAGCAGCTTGAATGAGCATTGGCTGTGTCTGCCAGTGGTATGGAACCAGCTGATTTCATTGTGCCTGTCAGTGACCACAAAAGAATACCATTATTTCAGCTATGCTCTTAGCATCTGACACACTAATTGACACAGTTTTACACTGTACATCTCTTTTACTTTAATATTTTGAGGTTGATGAAGGCAGATTCTCAGGTAAGCATTTCATAGGCATGAGCTCTGTCTCTCTAACTCTCTTCAAACATGACAGTCCAGTATCAGCTGTTAGCTAGAGAGCAGCAGGAAGACTAAAACCACAGCTCAGAAAAAACTACTGAGATAATCTAAAATTAAGAGTACACATGAGATTATTTCTTCATTAGGAGTAAAGAGTAATATTATTATGCCAAAGCCTCCTGGAAGGGAATGCTTCTTTCCTCTAGGAAGGGCTTTATAAATATTCATATTTCTTATTTATAACTACAAGAGCTCCTTGATGACAAAACCACATACACTGGATAATGCAGATGAGATGGCAGGTATCTTTTAGAACAAATATGCCTGGTTTAAATGGGTAGGGGTTTGAACATCCAGTCTGCAAAGAAACACTATTGCTTGTTTCACATTTTTATTCCTTTTTTGAGGAAAATCCTTTCTTTAAAAAACACCTTTATTCTGGTCTTATATGATTTAAATGTTTTCTGTCTATACACAAATCAGAAGGACAATATATTCGCTGAGATGAAATCACCTCGAGAACCCCTTGATGCTCATGGATGCATGTCAAGGATGAGATGAGTGCTGTTACCCCCGAGGTCAGCTGTAGGCCAGTGCTGCATTTATTTAAACACTGATGAAAGAGGTTGATACCAAATTTTTAGAATTTCTGCCTGTTTGTTTTTGTTACCTCAGTTCTGAAGTCTGAGCTTTTTAAAGGTTTATTTATGGACCCAGAATAGAAAACAACTCTCAGAATTTCCTGGAGCTGTCTGAAAATTCAAGCCATTAACAGAGCTCTATACATCTCATGTGTAGAAGGCCAATTTGGCAATCCTAGCATGCACACATAGTGCCACACTTTCTATTTTTTAGCCTGATAAATACTAAATCTTGAATCTATGACTGGAACATTCTATTATCAAGATCATTATTTAACAATTTAGGAGGCCATAATACATATAAAAATGAACCAAAATTAAGGAAAATCTTCAGTCAGGATTATCAGTGCATGCAGCTAAAAGCTGAAAGGTAAAAAGAAGGAAAGGAGTACAAGCACAGAGCAGTGAGTTTCCCTCTTGCCTACAAGTTTCCTGAGCACCTCTAAGGGGCTCATTTTCTGCACAGCTTGTAGCTGGAACTCACATGGAGCCAGCTCTCGTTAGTTGTCATACCATTTTTTGTAAATGTTAATACCTTACATATGTAAGTATATATACAGCTATAAATAATTAGATTTAAGTAAAATGTACCTCTGGCTGAAATCAGGAGGCCTGGTCTGCACACCTACTGTGGGAAAGCTGATGGGAGATTTTCATATCGATTTTTTTATCACACTGGGCTCTATTCATTGTTTACTCTTCAGTGAAAGAAATCTCTGCTTCTACTTTGTTTCCTTTGAAATGGGAAAATATAGGAATGAAAATAAGAATTCTGAGCAATGTTTTCAGGTTATGCTATTTCATTATTTCTAACCTTTAATGAAAATGAAACAAAATAAGCTTCATTTGTGTTGTTTTAAAAACTGAATCTCTAGAAGAATCAGTGAGTGTCTAAGCTTCTCCTTTCAGCCTCTCTTGGCTGTTTAAATATTAATAGAGAGAGACTGACCTTCAGTACTGCTGCTGAATCATGGAAGCTGAAAAGCGGAATCGATACATTTCTGTTCTAATGATTAACTGATTACACTTCGTTAGGATTGAAAAATTGTCACGCAGTTTTTACACTGCCACATGTTTGATACAACTTTTTTTTTCAGCATTAAAATATTATTCCAATTAGGACCTGAATGAGGTATGCAACTTTAAGCACTCTGAAATCAGTTTTAATACTTTAACATGTTGTTTAACATTTAAAATGTTAAAATGGAAGCTAAAAGTTCAGATTTACAAATAGAACTGGTACAGCCTGGTTTAGCTTTCTCACTTCCACTGATGTCAGTGGAGCTGCTCACACTGAGTGCTTGAGTACATCTCCTGGATAAGGAGACTGCGGGGCTGTGAGAACTGAGGTTGTTATGGCTATTGCAGACTGCTAACTGGTTACTGCCTTTCCCTTCTTTTACAGAGATATGGCTATGGTGGATGGGTACAGCTGGATCATCACTGCAAGGTTTGGGCTGTTTGGTGCTCTGTGCCACTTCTGTGTTGTAATCAGGAATAAAAGCTCCCAGGAAATCCATTAAAAAGCAAAGTAGCAATATGATTGGCTGAGTCTTCAACAGGGATTTGTCTGTAGGTCTATGTTTATGAATTAATATCACTCAAAGTCCTAATTTGCCTCTGTAGAACTTGCTTAAGACATGAAACAGTATATAGTCAGGTTACATTCTCTGGTAGGAACCACTATCTGCTTCTTGTAATATCATCTGACCACTTGGAATGGATAGCTCTTACAAGTTGCTTTTACTAAGACATGTCAACATACAGTAGATATCACAGCATTCTTTTAGATAAATGTGATCATCTATATGAGAAGCAAAAACAAAGGGAACTGGTATTTTAATAGAAGAAATATGAATTTGATCATGGAAGCGACTTCAGAGAGGAATATTAACTTCTGTAATGCTATGATGACAAGGAGAACAAACATTAGTTTCAATAATCAAGAACAACAGGAACAATACAGAGATTCTGGAAGTGTATACTCCTTGCAAGCTAATAATACCACTGTTGTTCAGTACTATGCAAGGCTATGCCAACAAATCCCTAACAGCCTTTGATAAAAGAGGGACACAAGATATCAAGGCTGGGACCAAGAATGAGGAGCAAACAAATACTAGCCTGAAATTTCAGATCTCAGCCTAAGCAGGTATGGGAGGAGAGAAAAAGCCGCCTGCTGAATCAAAGTGTGGATGGCACAGCTTGTGAGATTCTGGTAGGTGCAGGAAGGGGAGACTCTGAGACAGTTTTAGCAGCTTAGCTGTTTGTTACATGCTAAACCTCCTTCCTAAAAACAGCTCACAGAGGAACTCTGTGGCAAGTCAATAATAGCCTTATATTCTCTGCAGAGAACTCTGCCTAGCCTACTTCTGTCTGAAAACGTTGCATGAAAAAAGTGCATGGCAAAATAAAATCCTGGTCAGGTATGAAGCTAGGGAAGTTAACTCTGAAGATTTTTTAGATATTTTTTAAAAAGGTAAACCTTAAGCTTCAATGAAAGAAAATAACTACGTGCATGTTTTAAGAAGGGCAGTTTGGGATGGAACTGAATAGCTTAGTGATGCAGTAATTTTAAATGTGTGCAGCTCACTGAACCAAATTAGCCTCCTGGACTCGATTCTTAAATCTCTCTCTCTTGATGTTCAAATAAATTAATTAAGGTCTTAAATATTGAATAATATTAAGAATAGCACAGCACAGCTCCAGCAGCCATTGCTTTGGAACCTGAAAAATTTCTTCATGATCTATGTTTCATTCTCACTACTGCGAAAAACTTCTCACCAGCTGAGGTGTCTCAGTAATTTCTTCTTTAAAAAATGTGAGGTGCAGATTAGTGTCAGTGTCTGGAGGCAATAACTGTATGACTGATTTTCCAGTCATGCTGTTGCTGGGCCAGATCTTTCTGTGCTGACAGACATGAGCACAGATCTATTCAGACGATCACATTCTGCTTTCCTTCATAATCAAGCCTATTGTTGCTCACGTGCAATGCTGTGAGTTTAGCCTTGACCTGTAGGATGTTTTTGTTCACAAAGAATCAGTTAATGCAAAGGAAAATAGGAAACCGTTCAGTGAACTGTTTAGTGAGAACAACACAGGGCTTATTAAAACCTTCCTATATTGCAAACCCTGTTGCAGCATTCAGAGAACTGCTGTTCATCTCGGTGTTTATGTATGAGCACTGTCAAGGTTCCTGGTGAAATTACAACCTGTCCAACACCGTTTTCAATATTAGCAGAAGGAGATATATATGTTCAGCTGCTGTGCTTTAGCTTTGCCTGAGGAAAGAATTAAAATTCACCTGTATTCACAGAAATACTGCCAGCAGAAAACCAGTTAAAGCCACACAACCTATTTGTATGTGATGCAGCTCAGTTCTACTCTGTCCTCTCTACTCACACCCCAAATATTTTTCCATTTATGAGGCAATCTGCAGCATCGGGCTGATCTCTATTTTTTAACGTAATGGACTGCATGGCTAGAGTAAAACTTTCTGTCAGGTTGGAAAATCAATTTTACAAGAACTTGAAGTATATTACCAGAGGATTAGGATTATGGAGCTGTTATTACTGACTGCAGTATTTCATTTTCACAAACTGTGATACAGCTAACAGGTAACTTGACATTTTGCTGAGGTAGCACAGCTGGATTTGCTGAAGAGTGCTTTAAAATATTCATGTGAGCAGTGTCTGAAGTTAATAGCAAATGCAAGGCTAAGAATAGCCCAATTTCTCAGAAGATGGTGGCAGAAGCCCAGCTCCACTCTGAATAGTGAAACTGTAGGTTTTTGCTATTTTAACATAATTGTAGGAATATTCTAGTTGAAGAAGTTTTCACTTAGAAAAATAGACAGGTGTTCTAAGGATCCTAAATCAGATGATTTTTGCTGGGAAAAGTGAAATGGCTTTTGGAGAGAGAGAATTCCCTTTCCAGAAGGGGCAGGAAACTGCCCTGCACTTTGCTGGTGTTTATTGTGAAGGTGAAAGAACTGCTGTGCATTCTCACAATTTATCTGGCTTTCAATTTTCAACTGCAAATTCAGTGTCTCCTTCTCCCAGCTTCCTGCATGGCCATGTTTACCTCTCCCACATCCACACAGTGGTGCAGGTCTTCTCACTTAACCTATTTCCACTTAGCCCCAAAGAAGCGACAAGCAACTAAAAATGATCAATTAGGGCTAAGCCAACAGAAATACCATCTTGTCTGTCTTTATAAACACATACAGACGTGTGGCCACGTACACCTGTGGCAAATATTTTCTTTTGCTTAATGTGACATCTCTGTCCCACTAACCATCTTTGGACGGATGACAAATCCACTGAAGAAATAAGTTTGAAAAAGATGTTTCCATGTTCACAGTGGAAGGAACAATACTTAATTTCCAGACCTTGATTGTCTGTATTTTTTACGTTAGGGAACTGGTACACAGTAGATCAGGTAGAGGCTTTATACTGTGTTTAGATTTGTGGGTTTGTTATTCATTATTTTTTTTGTGTGATTTAGGGATAAACTTTCATTAAAGTTTAGTTGAAACAACTAAATTAAAGTTACTATATGAATTAGTGTGTACTACTTTGTCATGTTTATAACATATGAAAATGTCATTTCACAGGGACAGGCAAAGATGATGAAGGATGGAAAGATCTTTAGAGTTATTCAAGAGAACTGCTGGGATCCAGTAGTGCGGATTAAAGAGATGAACCTATCAGGTACCTCCGCAAAGGAACCGAAATCTTTGTGTCTCTTTCAGAACGCTGCTCTGTTAGTGCATCTGGAAGTGCTTAATAGCTATACCAAAATTAAAAGATTTATCAAACTGCTTCCTTAGCTTAAATCCATTAAAAATCAGTGAAAACTGATATGTTTTATAATTCAGACTCAAATTGAACACGTTCCCGTAACTTTCCTCATATTCAGTAGCAATTTATTCCCCAGATGGGCTCTCTGATTTCAGTGGGATTGTTAATGCAATAAGGAACTGGCTGACTTAATTGCAGATTGCAGAATCTGGACTTGGAAAGAGACATTCCAGGTATAGACATGATGTACATTAAAGAGGAAGCCATTTCATTTTTATTCCAAATGTCAGGAGTCTGGTCTTTTTTTTATCTAATTGTTTCCTTTTGTAATATTTTTTCTGTTTCTGTATAACTGTGAGCCTAGAGAACTGCTACCATTACCTTCTCAGGAAAGAGTTTTCCTGATTTAGAAAGTGAAGCACACACCACAACTGTAATTTCATCTTCTCGCAGGTTTCTTTGTGTCACTAAATAAGATTTGCAGAGAGATAGAATGAGCAAAAAATCAATGATTTCTTGGTTCTTACTGACACTGTCATTCCAAATTCTTTTTGCAAGAGCAATGCTAGCTTATTAGAAATTATCTGTTCTCAGATTGAGGCCTCCATGATCATTATTGTACTTTTCCAGCAGGATAGCATGTTAGAAGATATTTGGGGTCTGTCTCCTAATAGAAGTTTACTCTGTAACACGTTACATAAGGCAGTCTAGAAAGCACAACTCGGATAGCTTTCAACTGCCTTATTGTCAACCTGGAGAAGCACTTCAGACTCCAAACATCAGACATTTAAGTGGGAATGGGTGCTGCTTTGACTGGGTTGTAATCATTTCCCTGAGTTAACTCAGGGATTTTGTGGATTTCTGCAGTACTCAACTGCAGTGTCAAAGCCCTTTGGCATTTTTCCTTTTCAAATATTTCCCGTACCACTAGTGGCAAGTTTCTAATAATTCTGGTCATCTAATTGCTGTAGATACAGAGAAAGATAGGAGCAATTCTTCAACTTTTTGCAACAGCTGTCCAGAAAAGAAAATGTATCAGAAAACCAAATAAAACTGGCACCACAACACTTCTTCACCACCTGAACAATGCTCACTTGCTTAAAAAAAGTAATAATAATAATCTTAAACTGTGTGCTACAGCACCATCTGGTGACATGCGCCATAAAAATATCCCCTTTTATTGTAGCACTCCAGAGACACAGGTACCAGTTAATTAAGTGAGAAAATAAAGGAGTACATAGTGTTTCTCAATCCTGCAATTCTAATGATAAAGACTGGGGCTCATATTTGTTCCTTTCAGTTCACGTAGCTCCAGCTATGCAGTGCAAAGGCAATTTATGTAACACAAACCAATATAGAATCATACCTCAAAAAATAAACTTCTGAGTACATCATCATTTTTTAGCAAAGACACAGGGAGTCTCTGTGCTGAACAAATCCAGTACCACTCATTGCCATCTTCTGAATTAATATTTTTATTGCTTATAGCTAGTTAATTTTTTAAAAGCACAATGAAAGATGTGCATAAATGTTACAATATGAGATGGTGCTACAATCGGGCTTAAAATTATTGAAAAATATGGTTTTGCATGTAACCATTAAGTCGCAGAATCATAGAATCCTTGGAGTTGGAAGAGACCTTTAAAGGTCATCTAACCCAATTCCCCTGCCATGAACAGGGACATCCACAGCAAGATCAGGTGCTCAGAGCCTGGTCCAGCCTTGCCTTCAGTGTCCCCACAGCGAGGGCTTCCACTACATCTCTGGGCAACTTGTTCCAGTGTCTCACCACCCTCATGCAGAAGTTTTTCCTTGGATCTAACCTAAATCTCTTTAAGTTTGAAAACACCTTCCCTTGCCCTTTCACTACAGACCCTGCTAAAGTCTGTCCCCTTCTCTCTTGTAACTCCCCTTTAGGTACTGAAGTCCTAATCAGTGTATGCTATTTACTCTGTTGTCAGTTTACTAGGTTTGGTGGGTTCATTCTTCACACTTCCACACCCAATGGTACAGATTTGTGTTTGAAGAAACATGGTTTCACAGAATAACCTACTGTTAGTATGGCAGTTCTCTCTTTCTGTCTCCTTAGCAAAAATACTCCAATCCTAATAAGCTGATACACCACAAGATTTATTACTATGATTCTCAATTAGCAAAAAAACAGATTGTATCCATACTAAAGTTATTTCATTCTTTCTTTTCTATGCGTCCATCTTTCAAACCAAAGTGCTTTCTTATTTTTAACGTTTTATCAAAAGAATGAAACATTAATAATTGTTTTTTCTTTGTCAGGAGTTACAGTCCAAGTCCTTTCCACTGTCCCTGTGATGTTCAGTTACTGGGTAGGTTCCTATTAGTACTTTTTGTTATTCATGTTACAAATTTTTATTAAAAACTGAATGTATCTTCCTGTAAATGATGTGATTGAACTGGTTGCTGGAGCATAGATGTAAATGAGGAATTGTTCTGCTGAGAAAAACAGAAGTAAAAATAATCCAGAGATCAGAAGAGCCAGCAGGGCTCCACTCTGCAGTACGTCCAGTAGGAAAGAACGAGATACTGACAGAATTTCTGTGGGGGATCTTATGTGGGGTAGCTGGAAGCATGGGGAAAGAATTCACAGAGCACAAGCCTCTGGTAAGCAGGAAGATGGACTGATGGACTGACCCATGAAAGTGGCACCAGGCTGCATTAAAAGTTCAAAGATTTTGTCTCACTTTCTTTTAAATGTGCCATGGGAGGGGAACGCAGAGACCTTTGAATCTTAAAATCCAGTGGCAAAATTAAGTTAATGTGTTCCCTACACAGCATCAAAGATGTAGGAACGGTCTGGTAAGATAAACCATAGCAATATGGTGCTCTAAATACATTATACAGATTGAATGTTTAGGTATATATAAGTAGTGCTATTGAATCTTAAATTCTTCAAAATCTTACACTGGTATTTATGGAACTTGTCTCCATTAAGTGTGTACTGCAAAAAAACCCAAAAAACTAGAAATTAATTGTGTTTCCAGCTAGAATTGCAACTGTTATCTTTTTCTAAATATTAGAGAGCTTTGCTCTGTGTTCTCTTAAATTACCATGCTCCAGCATCCCACGTCTTTTGTATTTTTCTCCTCAGCTCCTATGATAGGATGGTAAATATTAATTGCTGCATTTGAAAATGATTTGCTCACGTTTTTTGCATTTGGAAGAACAAAAACAGAGGACTGTTTTACACAACAGACCAGATACTTCAGTGCATCAGCAACGCTCCTCCTGAGTGCTAAAGGCAGACACAGTTGATGTAATATTCAAGCCAAGACCTATAGTCAGAGGATTTAAAACAAAGCAAAATTTGATTTCCGTTCATTCAGAACTGTAAAGTAAATTTCAGTTTCAAGCCCTGTCTCTGATCTGTTTGCAGTGACATTTACCCAATATCTTCCAAAGGTGATAACATTTGAGAACTATATTTTAATGTACTATTCTGCTTAATATCTTATCAGGCGAAACCTCAGGATACTTTAGATCTATCCCAGATGTTGAATAATGACTTAGCTGATACAGTAAGAAAGTACCCCAAGAGGTTCATAGGCTTGGGTACGTTACCTCTGCAAGCTCCAGACCTGGCTGTGAGGGAAATGCATCGGTGTGTGAAGGAACTTGGATTTCCAGGAGTACAAATAGGATCTCATGTCAATGAGTGGGACCTGAATGCACCAGAACTCTATGATATTTATGCTGTGAGTAAATGTTTCTTCCCTTATTTGGGGGAATTCTGGGACATGGTGTTCTATCTAGAGGTACATTGATACGTATTCAATCATCAGCTGAATGTATAGATACATTAAAACAGCGGACCCTTCTAATCTGCTCAGCGTAAATGAAGGAACGTTTGCAAAAGACTCTCACCAATTTTATTTCATGTCTTGGGCATCAAATGACTAAGAACACTAATTCAAAACTGCACAACTTTAAGACGAGTGCAACTCCAGTGTATTTAATTCATGAATTCACCAATCCAGCCTGCTCAAACCAGTGAGATAACATTAGAGTCTGAGAATTCTCTGACTGTTTGAGACCAAGTTTCTTATTTACCCAAGTGCAATCAGCACAATCCCATTTTCACACCATGTACTTACATTTGACTAATCACTAGTTAATTAAATTGATCAGTCTGCTAAGCCACTTACTGAATTGCTATTTTCAATTTACAAATGTATGTAACCATTACTCCTTAGAACCCAAAAGTTGCATCTTTATTTATATAAGTGTGGGTAAATAAACCTGATTTTTTCCAAAGTGTGATAATCTCCTTAGCAACAAGAGGAGGTCCGGAAATAAAACTGACAAAACAAACCTGTTAAATCTTGGTTGAGCATATGAATGACTGATTATTACATATTTAAACTTAAGCACATATTTAAATAATTCAGTCAGGATCAGCAACCAATATTGTTCCTCTGCTTTTCTTTCCAAAGCTATCAGTAGTTTTGGAGGAATGACTGTATTTGTGAGGACATGGTTTCTTGATCGAATGCAGCTACATGTCTAACTTGGGGTGGATTAGGAGGACTGTAAGACTTTTTTAAGCCAATCAGGGGGCAAAAGAGGACAAATGTAGAGCAACAACAATGAACATGAGGGAAAACTTCTTTACTTTAAGGGTGACGGAGCCCTGGAACAGGCTGCCCTGAGAGGTTGTGGAGTCTCCTTCTCTGGTGATATTCAAGACCTGGACCTACTCTGAGGAACGTACTTTAGCAGGGGGTTGGGTGATCTCCAAAGGCCCCATCCAACCCCTATGATCTGATTCCTGAATGCAGCTGGAACAACTGTACAAAACCACCAAATATGGTTTTATAAAACATTTTTAGAATTGCCCTTCGTATGTGAAATAAAGCCAAAAGAATCCTGCTTGAACCAAGTTTTATACTGCAGAACGACTGACATTAAAAAGAACTTTTGTACCACATTAGTGTGAGGAACACTTGGCTTTCTACAGATACTATCATCCACGTCTCCAATCCTGTACTCTCCAAAGGAACTCTGAGTCTGAGTGAGGACTTCAGAATAGGTACCAGAGGAGAAAATAAAACAAATTAATGCTTATAGTTCTTACTTCTGGGCCTATTTACAGTGCTAGTCCTAATGCTCGGCATGATTTCGCAGGAAACCTTTAAAACATGACTAAAAACCACGATGTATGCTGGCAAGATTAAGAAAAGACTCCGATCTTTTATTTTTGCTGCAGGCCGCTGAACAACTAAATTGCTGCCTTTTTGTACACCCCTGGGACATGCAGCAGGACGGAAGGATGTCCAAATACTGGTTTCCTTGGCTGATAGGTGGGTGTGTACTTATTTTGCTTAATCTATATTTACAAACTGTCACTGAATGCCCACAAGATTGATGTGATTGTACTAGTACAGAGAAAAATGACACGCTTTTTCTTTAAAATGGAACACTGCAATTATATCTGCTGTGGAAATCCAGCAGGCGTTTCTCGTTAAGCCTGTACAGTTTGCCTAACTTTATATCTAGAGCTGAAATTAATGACAGTAGTGATGGCATATAGCATTGTCTCTTGTCCTATATACAGAGAGCAAATGACTGGGGGAAAATCAGCTGTCTCTGAAATGCAGTCTCAAAAAATAACACAAGTAAATGAAGAACAGGTAGAGTGAGCAAAAACAAACACTATTTCCTAGAAATCCTTCAGACTATTTCCTAGTAATGGGTTGACTGGTGAGGAAACACTGAATCTAACTTCACACCAACAATAGTTGATGCAACTTGTACTTTGGAAGCTCCCCAGAGATATAGGGAATTAATTTGGTTTCTTTTTTATTCCTCACCAGCTGGGCAAACGAGGATGACACCGAATAACAGGAAATATGTTAAATTGCTACTTAGAGATTTTTTAGATTGATTCCACCCTCACTTGCTCTTTTTCATGATTTCCAGTGGAGATGTTCTGAACAATATATATACAATATGCAATTGATGCATGTTCTAAAAAGCACTGTCCCATCCAAGAGTGCATTATTTTAGTACACTATCAGTCGCTCTTATTCAGAGAATGCTCTACAAAACAGACTTAAAAAGAGATTAAAATTGTTTCATCTTCCTACCAGCATTAATAATCTGAAAGATTTTCCTCATAAATCCATAAGGCTTTGCATCTGAGAGTACAGTACAGACTTGAAATAAAGACGCCCTTTTGTGCTGGATAGGTATTGTTTCCCCCTAAAAGAGGGGAACTCCAGCAGTTCCTAATTTCCAAGATGGATGTCTACAGTTATGCACCAAAATAAGGTGATACTATAAATATATCAAGTATGCTCAGAAACTGAGACTTGATGTTGAAACCTAGATTGTTGCTAGGTACCTAACTCTGGGTATCCAAGCTACCCAGTGCAAAAGATAGAGATTAGGTACTGTGGGAATACTGTGGGAACTGACATGACGTCATATTAAAACCTGTGTTGGAATATGCACCAACACAGCTGCCCCACTTTCCACATAAAGGAAACTCAGAAGCACAGGTAAAAAGAGAACTTGACCTATTCCTAGTAAAATTGGGAAGCCAAGTCAGTTCTGTGTAGTTCAGGCCATAGCCCATGCCAGCCAGCTGACCTCTTGGTGTCAAGATAGAATGCGGGCTTAGAATTCAGCTGATCTCAGCTTCTAGTTCTGTGTCATTTCAATTAATTAGTGTTGAAGGCTGTGTTCCTTTAACAGAAATAATGCATAACCTTTGGCAGCTGCTCTGTAACTGTTATTTTTTCAGTAGGCCCAAGGCGTATTGAAGAAAATGAAGATAACATTTAAAACTCAAGGGTTGGCTCGATGAAGTGATGAAGTTTTTTTTATTCTTAGGTATGCCAGCAGAAACAACCATGGCCATTTGCTCCATGATTATGGGAGGAATTTTTGAAAGATTTCCGAAGCTGAAAGTTTGCTTTGCACATGGAGGTAAGCAATATACCTGTTCTTTGGCTCAGCAGAGTGTAACTGTATTTTCTGGTATTACTACTTTAAGCCTGCCCCTCACTGAGAACTATTAGCATAGTGAGGATATCTGCCAGATAGGTTGCTCATACAAACATTTTCCATCATATTTCAGCCTGTGCTTGAACTGCTACGACAGCCTTTAAGGCAAGTGAGAAGGGGAACGGGAGGCAGTTTATGGGAAGGGAGCAGTAAGAATCTGGGTGTCACTGTAGCAAAGAAGTGGGAAAACAGAGAAAGAAGGGAATGAAAGGGAATGAATAAAAAAATGTTGGTGCAGAGCCCTTCTTCTCTAGTTAGTTAGTAATAAAACTTAGGTATCTCTCTGGTTTTCCTCCTACATATTTTCAGTTTCTGTTGCTAAAAATTTCTCCTTGCAGGAGGTACTTTTCCATACACAGTAGGGCGAATCTCCCATGGATTCAACATGCGCCCCGATCTGTGTGCCATGGATAATAAGGTGGATCCAAGAAAATACCTCGGTTCATTTTACACAGACTCTCTAGTCCACGATCGTGGTGCACTAAGGCTCCTAACAAGTGCAATAGGAGAGGTGAGTTTTCATGCTTCCAGAAGCAGGTGAGTCATTCTGGATTTAATTCCCTCTATGAAATAGCAGAAGAGTAAGAAAGCAGGATGAAGATAGCATATTCACCCAGAAACATCAAAACTGAAGCTACCGTAAACTGAAGTGCTTATGCAGTGTAGGTAATGTTCCTTACTATAATAAGGAGATCTTTAAGTGGTGGTTTTAATCCAGGAAATGATCCACTGTGAGCCCTAGTTCAGAGAGATTAATGTGAGGTTGATCAGGATTTAGGATCCAAGGGAACGGCATGGAGCTGTGGCAGCAGGTCAGGCTGGATGTGAGGAACACATTCTTCCCCCAGAGGGTGGCTGGGCCCTGGCACAGGCTGTGCAGGGCAGTGGTCGTGGCACTGAGCTGCCAGAGTTCAAGGAGTATTTACACACTGCTCCCTGATATCACCTGGATTTTGGGTTGTCCTCTGTGGAGCCAGGCGCTGGACTCAGTGATCCTTATGGAATATCCTGTGATTTTAGGGCGAGACTCAAAGCAAAAACAATCATTTGGAGCCTCACTTTCAAATGGCTTAATTGCACACTTCTTCAAGAGCATATATGAAGAAATCAATTGGTACTTCAGCTTGGAATGTTGTAGGCATTAAAGGATAGTATTAAAGCACATCTCTGTAGGATCCTGCACACAATATTTTAATCGTCAGAGTAGAAAGTGAAGAAATCTTTATACTTCAGCAGCCTGTTTAAATCATGTACTGTGCGGATCATAAAAATCCAAGACCATTCAAATGACTTCTTTTTATTAGTAACTGAAAGGATTCCTTCTTATTACTAAATGTTCCAGAAAATGTGGAAGACAGAATAATGGATACCTACAAATCAGCAAGAAGCTTATAGTTGTGTCTTATTCTCCAGAGCTCACCAGACAACAAAAACAGAAATACAAACTCTTGACATTAGCTATCTTGTCAACAACTGCATTCCTCTTTCCTGAACATTACTTTGTAGGCTCACATAGTATTTTCTTGGGTATGAGGCTGCTGTCATCAGTGGCTCTTGTAGGACCAAAGTTCAAAAAACAACTAAGCCAGGTGTTTTCTTTCTTCTAAAGAAAAGTCACTACTGGTTTTCCATATTCATCTCTAACACTGTGAGCAGGCTGCTGAAATAATTCTGTACTAGAAGTCATACGACAATGACTTGCCTAGGCCAAAACATAATAAAGCAGAATAAACAATTGCTTTTCTGTACTTTAGAACTCTGAGCCCAAATCTCTTCCATTTGGAATCAATAGGTTTTCAGTCTGTTCACTGTGGTTTTTAAATTGGAATTCTGCCTGCAGCTTCCCTGCAGTACTTTTGCTTTTTAGGAAAACTACATTTGAAAATTCATGAAAAATTCAACACTGACAGCACATCTACAGCCTGAAACAATAGTGTGGGAAGTTTTGCAAAGTGTATGTACACGCTATATGTATATACACATGCAGTAACACTACAGCTATAAGGAAAAGAGGGAGAACATCTATTTCTTAAATCCATCATGGATCAAAAATGAATTTGGAGGAGGGCCCCACAAAACGTCTGAAGAAACTATATCACAGCCTTAGTTACTTTAGAAGCAAGTGAAACAAAGCCCACTCAGTTTACTTGTCAAAAGATCTGCTAATAAGCTGTCTGTACTGGAAAGTTCTTGGAACATCAGTGGCTATTAACTCAGGTGGCATTTGCCAAGTTCTACCCAGACACATTCTGATAGTGATAGGACACGGGAATGGTCTTACACTGAAAGAGGGGAGATTTAGATTTGATATTAAGAGGAAATTCTTTACTTAGAGAGTTGTGTGGCCCAGGCACAGCTGCACAGAGAGCTGTGGATGCCCCATCCCTGGGGCATCAAGGCCAGGCTGGGTAGGGCCCTGAGCAGCCTGATCTGGTAGGAGGCAACCCTGCACACAGCACAGGGTTGGAACTGCATGATCTTTAAGGTCCTTTCCCGTCCAAGCCACTCTGATTTTATGATTCTATGACACTATTGCAAAGGTGAAGTGGGTATGATCAAGCTGAACAGGAATGGAAAGATGTAAGGGATCTCTTATTTTGTATTCCCCACCAGACAGTTGTAGCAACATCTGTAGCCCACTAATTGGGTGAACGTGATGAATTAATGGGCCAAGAAAGCTTCATGTTCTCATACTGAGAGGACGTGCTATGCAGCGCACGCCCCCAGTATCTGTTTCTGATTTAGGAAGCAGTCTTGTTTTGTTCAATGAAATGACTGCAGTTTCATGACATGCAGCTTTCTTTGCCTGTGCTTGGGTGACCAATTGATACCTTAAACAAAGATTAAATCTCTGCCTTCTCAGTGTCCTCATGTGCAGTGTCTCCTTCACAGAACCACGTATTTTATGTCAATTTTTCACATGAATGAGCACACACAGCATACAAATATCTGAACACAACACATGCAACCATCTGTCTTTGGAGGGAAGAAGACTTGGTTGGTACGTACGACTGCAAGTCATACAATCTTTGACATGACTATATTTCAGTTGGCCATGTGCATGTGCTGATAATATAATTAGCCATGCCTGTTTTACTTTATTTCAAACTTTTCCTGCTCAAAAGATTTCATATCCAGAATAGAAAAAAAAATTAGGCTGCCAAGAAGATGCACTTGTTAGAGATAGTAATGTATTTATGGAAAATATCATCATTACAATGAAACTACTTATGAAGCAAGATTTCATTCCAAGTAACTGAGTAGTTTAATTAGAATGAAATTTCCTTTTTCCTTACAGTGAAACAGAACAAGAGTTATTTGTATGCAAACAGCAGATTTCACTTCTTGTTGCAACCAGGCTGAAAAGCCATGAATCAGATCCCCAAAATCTGAATGCTTTTAACAATTAGGAGAACTTGGAAAGCAGCACATTTTCTTTCTCCTTTTCATAGCCCACAGCACCTTATTCCTGAAGAAACATCCACATCGCATTTTCAACCTCACTTTATTACTATGAAAATTTCTAAATCCCTCTTTTTCCCATTAAACTTGATATTCTCACATAACACCATTTCAAGAGTCACTAACACATGAAATATTAGCAGAATAACAAGTGTAAGATAGATAAATTCTGGGCTAAAAACAATGTGATCGGGTCTCACACATACTGTGACTTCATGAGCTGAAGGTCTGAAATAGGACAGCTCTCTGGAGCACAGCTAAGAGCTGTGCAGGCAGGGCAGAGGTGTGTGCACAGATCTGCACACAGTGCCTTCAGGGCCTTAGGGAACAGCCATTACCTGGCATCAGAACGTCATGTGGGCCTTCAGGTTAAGAATATTAAAACCCAGCTACAGCTCGGAGTCGTGTGTGCTTAATCTCACCCATTCTTATTTTGGGGTACAGGCTAATTTGACACTTGCCCATTAAGGAAGCCAAAATAAACATTTCTGAGAAGTCATTTTGTAAAACTGCAGAATTACTTCCCATGATGAAGCAGCACGAATATAGCTGAACAAAAATTCCCCAGTGGTACTGGGTATAAAAAGTAAAGAACCGAGTTGACAGACAATTAAATGATTCAGCTTCTCTCTGCAGAAATTTCCCCATGGTGATTCCTTAAGAGCCATCACCAGAAGGTAAAAAACAATTTCAGACCAGAAGTTGGAGCTGAACTGGCTCTACCAATCTGGTCTCTTCTGCAGATATATCCTGACAGCAGGAGAGAAGCAAATACAATTTTTCACTAAGGGGAAGGACCCAAAGACTCTGAGATTCATTTTAAGATTCTGTACTACTGTGAAAAAGCTGTTGGGTATAAGGGCTCGTTGAGGTTAATCATAGCCATGTTCACCTTCCTAAAAATGAGATGCTTTATTGAGGTACTGGGCCTTAAGGTCTTCTATGGAAAATGAACTTTACTGATATCCTTTGGCATAACATGATAATAGATAACTACTATCTATCTATTATTAGCATAGCTAACACGCTAGGAGTGTTGCTCATCTGCAGAGACTTAGAGGACTTCTCTAAGGCCAGCTGGATAAAGACAAGGATTGCAATTCTCATTTCTATAGGTGGGTACAAACTGATGCTCAGATTATAAAGGGCCTAATAAATAGCAGCAATAATGCTGCTTCTAGGTTTTCTCATTATTTGACAGCTCTTAATTTTGCTGCCTACGAATAGACCGCATTATTAGCCGTGAAACACTTTAAACTAGAGGAAAAAGGAAAAAATGACTAAAGTAACATATGCAGATTGTGCCAATGAGGGGGTGGGATCTCTGTCTTTGAACCTTAGACAAGAATTTACAAGCCTTTCCAGCCTATTTAATCTTAACTATTAAGCATCTGGGAAGGTATTGGGTTTTCTTCTCCTTTACTAAGAAATCCATTGTCTATTATAAAGCTGTAATGCTTATTGATTTGGTTTGGTTTTGAACGATGGCATACGTTGGTATTTCAAATGTTCAGGAAATACCCCGGTGTCCAACTGAACATTGTAAATAAAAGGTATTTAGCTGTTCAACTGTACACACATCCAAATACATTTCATGTAATCTGCACTCAGTCTGATGCAGAAGACAGAGGGCCATAAACCCCCCGTTCTAATCTGATGGCGACACTTTTGTAATAAAGTATAATACAACCACATAGAACAGAACAATAGAATTCGTGTCTACATTGAGCATCGCCTAGGTTTTGTGGGGGGGTTTCGGGTGACATCTACTGGAGATCAAGTAAATAGCTAGCAATTGTCAAAATTAGTTACTACAATAACTGAAATAAGTCTTCTTTCAGCAATAGTAACTGAGTTCACATACTGCCGTGAGCCCCTCATAATTCATGAGTTTGACTTCAAATTCATGAGACATTTCAAAACAGATATTTTTAATGAAAAACGTGGCTTTCAAATATTCACGTTGGCAGGAGATGAAGCTTAAAAGCAAACAGAGTTCTGATAAGATGAAGTGAGGTGGCAATGTTCACTCCCTAGAGCAGATGATATGAGGAAAAATCAATGCAAAGTGGAGCTGAACATATCACAATGTGGATCCACTGGGGCTCTGTCTATTTATTTTCATCTCTGATACCAGCAACGATGCATGCAGATTTTTACTCAATTTTCTTTTCTCCGACTGCTTCTTTCAGAAATAAATGAAATCATGTCACTCATATTCCCATACATATGTTTCATATCCAGTTGTAGCCAAAGGCCACGACACTTAAAAAAACAGAGACTTCTGAAAAATGTATATGAAATTGGTAAATGAGATTTTGGTTTCACTAGCTGGAGCTGAATGCCAATTAAATCTATGCTTTTAAAATTTATATGTTTGTAGTAATTCTCCATTTTACTACAATTTAGGGAACATCACATTGCAATTATTACCCCTTTGGAAATATTACGGAAAAGATCATTTTAAACGGTATTTTTTATTACACGTCCTTCTCAAATATAAATGTATGTTTGCGTGAGCGCGTGCGTTCAGCTACATGTGTCCTTCAGAATTTCAGATTCAAGAATCCAAATCCAAGCATCTTTTTAGTGTTTGGTAAAGAGCTTTCCTGGGACACTCGCAGAAATCTGCCAGAAGCTTTCATGGTCCTTTCGGACTATGAAACAAACAACAGTTTATTTCAAATTTAAATTCACCAACAAACTCGAGTCTTTGTTTTGTAGCTCTGGGTTTGTTTCTGGAATCCAGGGACTACCTTTGCATTCACTTTCATCAGTCACCAGCTCCTTACGTGTTCTTATCTGTATTTCCCTGTGATTTATTACACATTCCAGAAAGCACCTACAACTGTGTTGTTTCCTGCTACTTCAAAACATACCATGTGTTTCTTTATTACCAGGACAGAGTTATTTTAGGGACAGATTACCCTTTTCCACTGGGGGAACTCGAACCTGGAAAACTGATTGATTCAATGGACGATTTTGACAATAAACTGAAGGTATCCTCTTTCCATTTGGGTGCGGGGTTTTTTGCTTTGATTTTGGATGTGCTTTGGTTTGTGGGTGGGTTTTTTGTTTTTTTCAATTTGAAGTCTCTGATTTTAGACCTGAAGAAAGAAAAAAAAAAAAAAAAAAGCACGATTTGTGCAAGGGCTGAAAGAGGCACTGTTCTCCTACCACAGCTCACGAGGGTGCTGTAGAGCACGGCTAAAAGCCTTGGGACACAGACATCTGCCCACCCGTCCGAGCGAGCGCACACAAACATACACAGTGTTTTGTTTTTACAGGATAAGCTCAAGGCCGGCAACGCTCTGGAATTTTTGGGTCTTAGCAGAAAGCAATTTGAATAAAGCCGAAGATCCCGCAGAGGCCAAGCTTCAGAAATGGCACTGAGTTCTCAGGGATGCTCGACTCTCCCGCGCGGTGGTGCTGTGGGAATAAAGCCGACCAGCCGTTACGCGCCGTTATTTCCCGCGCACGGCCGCGCTGTTTCCGTGCGTCTGAGAACGGAGCTCTTCACTGCTCTGAGCTCCCTATCTGCGTTAGGAGATTAAGCCTTAATTCAGTGCCAGAGAATGGGAATGGCAACTCTCTCATTCCTGTAGCGCACTGACTTTCATAGACACTTCAATGGTCCTAAGAGGAAAAAAAGATTTCTCCACACACTTAAACCAGCGCAATTCACCGTTTGCGTTCTCCCGGAGCCCCCAGCGCTGAGCAGTACCTGTCTGTTCCCCGGATACTGACTGACTCCGCGATCCCAAGCGCTACTGAGACTATCTCGGTGCAAACTGCTCAACGTCCGCTCGGTACACCCGCCGGCCGCAGCACACGTAACTCTGCGGGCTGCCGGCCCGGGCTGTCCCGCCGCTCTCCCGTCCCTCCCGCGCGCCCTCTCACGTTCCCGCGCTCACACGGCGCGAGCCGACCGTCGGCAGGCGGAGAGAGCGAGGGGAGGGCCGAGCCAATCAGCGCCAGGCAGCGAGCAGAGAAGAGGGGCGGGCCTACGTCATTTCCGTAGTCTAGAGAGAGACCAGCAGGGGCCGGCTGCGGAGATTGCGTAGCTGTTGCAGCTGCCGCACTTGGGGGGGGGGGGGGGGTCAGCCTACGCGTGTCGCGTGGAGCCATGACTTCCCGCAGGCCACGTGACGCTCCACCACTCAAACGCGCACGAACGTGGCGACGCTCTCGCCGCGGCGCTGCCGAACTCTATGGTCGAGAGTAGATAGGCGGCGGGCCGTCCTATCTCGCGAGAGCCGCCATGGAGGGCGGAGGGGAGGAAGCGGGCGCGGCGCTGCCGCCGGCGGGCGGGGCCGCAGGAGGAGGAGGGGGAGGAAGTGTCATGGCGGCGGCGGGCTCAGGCGCGGGCACCTCGGCGCGGGGCGGCGGCGGCTCCTCGGCGGCCTCGCGCTGGTTCTTCAGCCGCGAGCAGCTGGAGAACACGCCATCACGGCGCTGCGGCGTGGAGGCCGACAAGGAGCTCTCGTACCGGCAGCAGGCGGCCAACCTCATTCAAGACATGGGCCAGCGCCTCAACGTGTATCCGAGCGGCGGGGGCCGGGCGGGGAGGGAAGGGCCGGGTCGGGGCGCCCGGGGCCGCGAGCCGCCGTTATCCGCCGCTATCTGCCGCTGTCCGCCGGCAGGGCCTCCTCGCACGTGTGCGGGAGCCGCGGGAGCTGCCCGCTGACGGGGGTCGGGCCCGGGGACGCGGCGGGAGGAGGGGCCGAGCTTTGTCGGCGCGGCCTCGCGGGGCTCTGAGCGTCGCTTCTGGCTTCGAACAAAGCGGAGCGAAGCCTGGGATCCGGTAACGAGGTGCCCGAGTTGAGCCGGCGGTTCGCACCGCTCTCCCCTCGCCGCTGTGCCCGTGCTGCGGCGCTCCGCGCTTCTGCCCGCCCGTCTGGCGGGGCTCCGGGCCGGCTGTCGCGCCCGGCTGGAGGCGGCGTGTAGAAACAGCATCTCCGTTTGTTATCGTTGCTGCTTCCTTCATTCGGTGCTCCAGATCTCAGCTGACGATAAACACCGCGATTGTTTACATGCACAGGTTCTATATGCATCACTCCTTCACGAAATTTAATCGAAATGTAAGTATGGTTTTATGTGCGGTAATCACGTGCACGTAATTTCGGCGGTAAAGCTGACACGTGCTCCATTCCTGGGCTGGGTTGTGGAGCTGGGTGTGTTTGTAGGCATTCTGGCTTTGTGTCAGTGCTTTTGGTCCGGCAGCGATTGTTCCTCTTCAGGTCCGAATTACTTGATCGAGTAGAAATTACGTTTTTGTCTTCTGCCCCCGAAATTCACAACAAAGGCACCATCAGCAGACACCTCACGTGTGTGCAGGATGCACCCGGTGGTGTGAATCTGGCTGGCGCTCGTAGGAGCGCTATTAGTGAATGGAGTGGCAGTGCTGGCGTGCTGCGTCTGGCAGCTGTGATACGTGGGTCTGCAGGGGTTGTGTTTCTGCTCTTGAAAATTAATATAACTGTGCTTAGCCGCTTTTGTCTTAGAGTAGTTTGACGATAAGTTGTGTTAGACAAGAAAAATCTGAGTTCATAAGAAAATGCTGACTGTCCTGTTTGAGCTAGTGAAGTAAGCATGCTGAGTTTGAATACTTGTGTGTGGTATGAAGAACAAAATTCTTCAGGAAAAATACTATTTTTGTGGGGTGTTTTTCTTTAAGCAACTATGGAACTTTAAGATACCGTTTTGAAGACTTAAAGATTTTTTTTTTTTTACATCTGGAGTATCAGATGCGGATATCAGAAAAAATAATATAGTATTCTAGGTTTCTTTCTTATCTTCTCTTGTGTTGTTTTGGTTTTTTTTTTAAAGACTTAGTACTGATTTTGCAGAACGGTGAATGGTGATAGTGGGAGTTCTTGAAGTGACAAGGATGGTTTTCCTCAGACCTTGGCTTCTTTTGATGAAAGAAATAAATGCAGAGTGTGACTGATGTTAGGATCTAGGCCAGAGAAGACCTTGGTCTACCCAGAGGTAGACATTGCAAAATTGGCACTGTCTGAAGTATGGGCAGGTAGCGATCGCAGTAGGTTGCAGTGGTATCCTTTGTCTGATGTTGCATTTCTGTCGTTACTGGCTAAGCACATGGTGTCTGGTTTGGTGTTTATTGAGCAAGGCACGCATATCAGACTATAGACACACTTCAGAAAGGTATGGAATTATTTTTGTACAAAGCTTGTGGTAAATTCAGACTCCTGCAGCAGGCTTGGCACCAAGACTGTAGTGTTACAGGTTTGGGGGATAATAGCTAAGCCTGTAAGCACAACCTCAGATAAGCTTCCATCAGTCTGAGACTTGAACAGGAAGAAATATGTGATGTACGTTTCACTCATGTAATGATAGAGAGATATCTGTTGAACTGATGTATGTACCAATCAAAAGGTACTTTCCTAGAACTGCTTTCTAATTTTAGACCAAGAATAGCACACATGCAAATAAGTTCCAACAGGCTTTGTAATTAAATGTCATGGAATCATAGGCTGGTTTGGGTTGGAAGGGACCTTAAGGATCAGTATGTCCTTTAGGAATGTTTCTGAATTAATGAAGGGAGGGCAGTGAAACACTTGTCCTCTCCTTCTTTGCCTCTGTGTGTGGTGCTACCAGTGGAGCAGTAACCTGGAGCTGGTGCTGCTTTCAGAGCTTTCCCTGGCTGTTTGTGGACCTGGTAAGCAAGGTAGTTGCTTGGAATGGAGAGATGCCCCAGCAAGGGCTTGTGTTGTCACACAGCTGGATTAGTGCTTGCCCTCCCAGCTAGTAGTTGAGGATAGACTTAGCTAGCAAGAAGCTTTGGCTGCTGTGTTCTGTTTTTTTTTTTCACCAGATGCTAGGAAATGCCAGGTCACTTGGAACTGGAAGCATGGTGCTACTTGGATACGTAGTGCCCTCCTGATGAAAACCAAGCCTAACAATGTATTTGTGAGACTTAAAGTTCACAAGTAAGCTATCAAATGGCTGAATGCCATTGGAACTTTAGATGTTAAAGGAGAAGAAATTGTTATGTGTAATCTCAGGTAACAGTATTCAAGTGAAAGTTAAAAGCTAGTATGCTGTAAGCTAGCAAAGGGTTTCTGGTACTGGTTTCTGTCGAATAACTTTCGCTAGTTCTTAATTAGGCCAGACAGTAGCTTTCTGTGTGTGTTGATGGAGAAGTTAGATTTTTTTTTTTCCATTATTCTTCTGGGGAGAAAGGGGTGATCTCAACATGAGCTGCTTTTAAAATTCTTATTGCCATACCATCTGGCAGGTTCTCTGTAGAGAAAGCAAAAGCCAGGGTCTGTAATAAACACTTAATATCAAATCTCCAGAGTACTTGGCAAGCTGAAAAAGTTAACAGTGTTTATCTGCTGCAAGAAGAAACAAATCTCCTTGGAAGTTAAGTTATAAAGTACTGTCAGTCTTGAAGCTGAGACCAAGCTAAAATGGTCTATGGAGGGAATCACTTGTGTTTCTTCATGTATGCATGTAGTGATATTTATCTGTGGAAAGAAGGAAGGCAGAGGATAGGAATATAGACAGCCACCGGTTGGAATTGGTTATGATCTGCCAGTGGATGAAATTTAGAATCTTTTCTTGCTTTATTGGCAGGTTAATGTTTTTCACTGAGTAATAAACACTGGAGTTATGAATGATTGTGGGGTTGTGCAGATACATGTAATATGTCATATGCACTTCATTGTTTTACTAAGCGAGTTTTGTAATGGAAGGTAATTTATTGAATAGATGTTGTGCTAATTCTGTTGTTTCTTCCTAAATATAATAAATTATTGTTTAATAATCCTGCATGCTTTCAGGATTTTGAGAATTGTCTGTGAGTAGGGAGCAGAATTAACAAGTGTTTTCATTCACTAGACCCCCAGGGGTGGGACACAGCAGTGTGGCCAGTCCATTTAGAACATATTGCATTTACTGCCCCAGAGACCTAAAGCCCATGTTTCTAGAGAATTGCTGCGGGTTAGCAAGTCACTTTTCAAATAGTACAGTTCATCTTCAAAGAACATACTTTCAGTTACAATGATTCCAGCATCAAATAGTGAATGCACACCAGGGTGAGACCCTGTGAAGTTGATGTGCTCCAGCTGCTGGTAGAAACTTGCTTGAAGCTGGTAAACAGAAATAGGTGTGCTAACTACTAATCTAGCATGCAAATTGCATTTCAGCAGTAGTGCAAATTATTCTGTTAGCAGTGAACTGGGGTGTATCAACTTTGGTTTGCTGAGCATAAATGTAGTCAGTGCTAAGATCAGGGGGTGGGATAGTTTGCTGGCTTGAATAGAAAATACAGGCCTGTTACAGTGATACCTTAAAACATCTTAAATGGTACTTGCAGAAGATTTTTAATTTTCCTGTAGTACTTTGTCTGATGCTATATAGCAAATGCCACTTATAGAAGCATATTATTCGGTACACTGTGATTTCAAGAACAGAAGGGGGAAGAATCTGTGGTATGCTGGAGATGAGAGGTAAGGCATCCAAATGATAGTTGTATTTTTAAATCTAATCCTTAAATGCCATGTGGAATACCAAACAACTGGTTGATGATGTCAAGTTTTCTTTGTACCATGCAGTACACAGTAAAGTGCCCAAAGAGAGACTGCAGAAGGAATTTTTCCTGAAGTGCAAGGTAGGTGGCTGAGTGTGCAGGGGTTGCGGGGGTTCTTTATTTCCCACTCCTCTGTTCCATTCCTGTTTTCTGTACCCCGTCCAAACTGCAATATTAAATAATTGATTTTGCAGCTGTGCAAGTTCTCAGAACTTTCATAATACAAGCCAAACTTTAGAGAGACTGTTTTTGAGCACTTGAGTTGTTTTTACTCTTACATTTTAATATATTAGTTCTTTTTATGGAATATAAGCTGCTGGTGGTAATGATTTAATAAAAAAAAAAAGTGAAAACTCTCAACTTTTAGAGTGATACTTGCAGCTCCATCATAGACTCATAAACTGGACCCATACATTGTCTGAACTACAATACATCAAGTTTAAAACCATGGTAATATTGACATGGGAAGGGAAAGGGAATTCTTAGAAAACTGTGTACCCACTGGAGATGTATTCTGAGATTCCAAATGTCTTCCTTGTAGCAACACTGTCTTTACAAAATGTCTGGTACTATTTATTGTGAAAAAGACTTGTACCACTTCTACCAATAAAACTTGCTGGTAATGCCCCTTGGCTGTCATCATAATGAGGCTTGTATGTTTTGTGTTTTTATTTCCTTGGCATTTGGGTTCTTATTCTC